ACCATGCCACATCCTGCTTCATGCAAGGCCACCAATAATCCGGACGAAGATCCCTATACATCTTCTTCGCCCTTGGGATGAATAGAAAATCGGGACTTGTGCGCCTCCTCCATCAAAATCTGACGCACGCCACCGTGATACGGCACCCACACCCTACGGTGTAATGTTAAAAGTCCTCTGCCATCATAATCGAAGGAGGAAACCTGACCCACCACACGCTCGCTCTTCCGATGCTCCTCCTTGATAGCCTCCTGTTGAGCCTCCCGAATCTGCTCCAACAGGGGAGTCACCACAGTCATCCTCAAACAGACATCCCTGATCGGCACCGTCTTGCGGCTAAGCGCATCGGCCACCATATTGGCCTTCCCCGGGTGAATAAAGGATCTCGCAATCATAATCCTTCACCATGTCCAACCACCGCCGCTGCCTCATATTCAGATTCGGCTGGTCCATGAGGTACCTCAAACTCTTGTGGTCCGTGTAGATGGTACACCGAACCCCATAGAGGTAATGCCGCCAAATCTTGAGGGCAAAGACCACCGCCCCCAACTCCAAATCGTGCGTCGGGTAATTTGCCTCGTGAGGCTTGAGCTGCCGCGAAGCGTAGGCAATGACATGCCCCCTCTGCATCAGAACTGCGCCCAACCCTGAAATGGACGCATCGCAGTAAACCACAAAATCCTCTACGCCCTCAGGCAGGGCTAGGATCGGTGCCTCACACAATTTCTGTCTCAGCATCTCAAACGCAGCCTGCTGCTCGGGTCCCCACCGAAAGACCACGGCTTTCTTCGTCAGTCGTGTCAGGGGTACGGCTATCTTGGAGAAATCTTGGATAAATCTCCGATAGTAGCCCGCCAATCCCAGGAAGCTCCGAATCTCGGATGGAGACTTCGGGACCTCCCATCTCATCACGGCCTCGACCTTGGCCGGATCAACCAGAATCCCGTTCTGGTTGACGAGGTGTCCAAGAAATTGCACCTCGCGCAACCAAAACTCACACTTGGAGAACTTGGCATACAAGCTCTCCCTCCTCAGGGTCTCCAATACCTCCCTCAGATGCTCCTCGTGTTCCTCCCGAGTCTTGGAATAGACCAAGATATCATCGATAAAGACTATCACAGACCGATCCAGCATCGGTCTACACACGCGGTTCATGAGGTCCATGAACGCGGCAGGAGCATTGGTGAGCCCAAACGGCATCACCACGAACTCGTAATGACCATAGCGCGTCCGAAACGCAGTCTTCTGCATATCCTCCTCCCTGACCCTCATCTGATGATACCCCGAACGCAAGTCAATCTTGGAGAACCAAGATGCTCCCTGAAGCTGGTCAAATAGGTCGTCAATCCTCGGAAGCGGGTATCGGTTCTTCACCGTTACCTTGTTCAGCTCCCGATAATCTATACACATCCGATGCGACCCGTCCTTCTTTCTTACAAACAGAATCGGGGCTCCCCAGGGTGAACTGCTCGGCCGAATAAATCCCTTGTCCAGCAGCTCCTGCAGCTGCGTAGACAACTCCTGCATCTCGGGAGGAGCCAACCGATATGGTGCTTTGGCTATCGGAGCCGCACCGGGAATGAGGTCAATCCTGAACTCCACCTGTCGCTCCGGAGGTATCCCAGGTAGTTCCTCCGGGAAAACATCAGCAAAATCTCGAACCACCGGGACCTCGCTCACGGTCGCCTTACCCGCCTCCCGGGTATCCATCACATACGCGACATAACCCGCGCATCCCTGCTGAAGGTAGCGCCTAGCCCTCGCTGCTGAACATACAGTGGGTCCACACTGCGGCCGCTCTCCATGAATCACTAACTCTCCCCGCTTGGGGTCCTGACTCGCACTAGCTGCTGCGCGCAATCTATCACTGCCCCATTAGGGCTCAACCAATCCATACCAATAATCACCTTGTTCCCACGCAATGGAATGGGAACCAAGTCTACCAGGTAACGCTCCTCAAACAGTCGCAGAACACAATCTCGAAACACCATCGATGCTCGCACCGATCGATCGTCAGCAATCTCTACCTCTAACGGGCAATCTAACTCGCCTGAAGTCTCATGAAATCTCTTGCTAAGAGCAAGAGAAACGAACGATCGGGATGCACCCGAGTCGAACAATACCTGAACCGGGATGCCGTTCACATGGAACGATCCTAATACACATGTATACACACGGAGCACATATCAATATCATAACAACGTAAAATAAAAGATAGAAGGAAGGAATCATACCCGTCACCACATCGGGCGCGGCGCGTGCCTCCTCGGCAGTCAACTGAAATGCCCGACTCCTCACCACTGGAGCCTCTGCCTTGCCCTGACGGCCATCCGTGATCCGCAGGGTCGCTGGAGCTGGCGCCTTCACTGGCGCTGAAACTGTCAACATGGGGCAATTGGCCTTCTTGTGGCCCCTCTGGTTGCAGTGGAAACACACAACTCCGATGTCTGAATAACTGTCGCAGGAGCAGTGCAATCCCTGCTGATATGCCCAAACTTGCCGCACTTGTAGCAGCCTGACGATCCCATCCTGCACGCCCCTCGTGCGGCCTGCCGCACCTCCTGCAGCGGCTCGGTCCCGACTGGCCTTTCGGCCTCCCATCTGATCCCTTGGGCTTCTTCCCCGAAGCCCCTGCTGCCTGACCGTCCTCAAGTTTCCGTTTCCGGATGTGCTCCAAATCTATCTCTCTCTCCCTAGCCCTGGCAATCATGGAGTCCAGGGTAGGGCAAGCCGAAAAGCTAACATGCTCCCGAATGTCAGCTCGTAGCATATCATGGTAACGAGTCCTCCTCATATCCTCGTCACCTGCATACTGGGGCACCAATAAAGCCCTCTCCCGAAACTTGGCGGTGATCTCCGCCACGGTCTCTGTCGTCTGCCTCATGTCTAGAAACTCCCTGGCCAGCTGCTGAAGCTCGACCGCTGGCGCAAACTCTGCCCTGAACCTAGCCACAAAGTCCGACCAGGTCATTGCCTCGATAGCCGAGGCTCCCAACGAGTCACCCACTGACTCCCACCAATCCCGGGCTCGGTCCCGTAAACACCCTGCTGCGTACCTCACCTTCGACCCCTCGGGGCAGAAGCTGGTCAACTGGGCGGACTCAATATCCGCAATCCACCGCCTGGCGACAATGGGGTCCTTCACCCCATGGAAATCCGGCGCACCACTGCCCCTGAAGTCCTTGAAGGACAGTGTGCGAGATCCCGACTGGCTAGAGGCCAAGTCGTTCCTGAATGCCGTAGGCGATCCTCCATCCTCCACGATCCCTTCCTTGATCGACCCAAAGATGATGGGGGTCGACTCAAGGATGCCCTAGTGATCTCCGACGTGATGAACTCACGTAGCCTCTCATCAATCGGCTCGGTGCCAGATCCCGAACCTGACCCCTCTCCTGACCCGCCATCTGTCGGTCTCGGTCGAAGTACACCATTCTGCAAAACATCATAATAATCATTAGTGTACTGCTACTTTCTGAGGATCTCAACTACTTACAGGTTCCTTGGTCTCGTCTTGGCCTTCCTCGGCTCGGGTACGGATCCTCTGCTTTCAGTAGTACGGGCCCATACTACCTTCCACATCTATCCGTACCTTCTCCGAGGAATTCCTCGACTCCACCAGCTCCCCTTTACTACTGCTACTTCTCTGTTATTCTCATCCTAGGCTTGCCCTAGGGAA